AGCAAGCTCGTCAAGCCATCATGGTAAAACCTGTCAACTCGAGAAGAGGCTGTCTAGATGGGTCGACACGTCGATGGGAAGTCGTTAAAGTGCAAAATGCCCCCCCCCCCCCCCACCCGTCGTCAAACAGCGCAGCTCACATCTACAGAAGTCCATTTCAGAGCGGTAGCGCGAGTGGTGAGAGGCGCTCCAGCCATTGCGTCATTTTCTCCCATCTACCCTCTTGAACTTGAAAAGAAAAGCAAGGGTGTTAGTTTCATTTTATGGGATTAGGCGAAATTGGGTATCCTTGAGCAGTATATGAGAGCTTAGGATTTTTGTTTAATTCAATTTGTTCATCCGATCTTTTAAGTTTCGGTGGCTACTGTGGAGAAGATATTGGACTCTCAAGAAGTGGTCGATTTTGATAAAAGTATGCGAAGATTGCGAGTGATCCTCGCACAGTTACCAAAGGACAGATTTTCTACGGGAGAGCATGAGATCACTGAAAAACAATGGTCAGTTTTGAGGCGTTTTTTTTCCAGTTACAATGGTCATTTTTAAGGCGTTTTTTCCAGTTCTGAAATAACTCAATCTTTGGACTCTCCTTAATTTTTCAAGAAAACTTCCCGTTAAACATCGATTTCGTACAGCTGCGATTATGTAATGAGGCTCAGCTTATGAAGAGGCAGCTTCTGTAATTTTAGCTCGACCGTAAGCGATTATCCCATAACTATCGGACAGCGGATTTTATGGATTATATCCGGGGTTGGCTATTTTTTTAAGCTGCTGCTGGTGGCAGTCTGCCTCTATGTGTTCACGATTCCTTTATTGGGAATCCGGTGCCAGTCTCTCTTCACTCTTTTTTTAATTGTGCTGAATCTGACCTGACAGCTTGGTGAAGACGGAGTGGTACGTTTGTCCCTTTCGATGGCTCCATGGCTCCTCTTTGTAAGGGTAGTTTCCCGTCTTCCGGCTGATCGTATAACATTATTTCATTGAGTGTGGGAGGGGGAGGGGAAGGGGGGGGAAGTGTTGAGAGCCATTTTCCAGCTTCTTTCACCTTGCGGGTAAGGCATTGTAAGTTGTTATTTGTCTCATGTGAATTCCAGTACGCTTTACGACGTTATTAGGTGGCCTTTTATTGAAGTCGTCGTTCTTGGAGGTACAGAATTTCACCTCTAGGACGGAAAGATCTGCTACCGCACTTGAACGTTAACCAAGGGGCAGGTGTCAAGAAGGATCAAAAACAATACAAAAAACCTCCTGGATGTTCAGAGAGAAATTATTTGGCTCTCGCATAATAAGGGATGATGTGGCTACTCACCTTGATCAACATGGATTTCCGTCCCATTCTTCTGGGTAGCTCTAGTACTGCCACTTCTGTCCTGGAGGCTGAACACTGTTCTCGAAAATCATCTTCTCGTGTTGCAGGCCAAATTTGCACTGTAATGTTTCTGCCAGTTGTGACTCATACACAGTGATGTTCCTGGAAGAGTTCGATTGACCCCCGCATTTCAAGGGCACATTTCGCGAAATATGATTAATAAGTGAAATTCCTCTTGCGTATACCATTTGTAGGAACGCAGTCGCTCAGAAAGTACCTCTTCGATACTAGGAAGCGCTCTGTCTCACCAGTGACTTCCGTTCTGACTTATGAGTATGATCGCTGCTCTGCCACTCCTCGTTCCTCTGGTCTCTCACGCTCTTTCACTCCGTGAGAAGGGAGGTGGGGAGAGCAGAGAGAGAGAGAGAGAGAGAGGGAGAGAAAAAAAAAGTCAGAGTAGAGAAGCTCAGCGGGCGGGGCGCACGCTGGTTTCGAACGTGGTTTAGCGGGCGGTTGGACGAAGGGCCTATGAGGCTACCATGCACTGAGACTCGATAGATAGCTATTTTTGCAGAAATGTTGCTTTGCGTCGAAATTTGCATTGGAGCGTGCAAAACGTTCTTTAGCTATTTTTCATGTCCCTGTGCTGTTAATTGAGTCACCATTCGTTACTTCTTACCTTCTCTCTTGTCCTATAGTTGGATAGCATTCATCGGCAAAAAGGCGAAAAGTTCACTGCACCGTAACTGCGGTGGTACAGCCCCAGCCTTACTTCCCCTTTCGACGCGTTATGCGTGGGCGGCCACAGCGAGCACGCAGTGTGCGCTCACCGGTGAGTTTTTCCGTGGAAGCGCCGTGTACCTGTTTCTTACCTATCCTGTGCTCCACAACGCTCAAAATCAGGAGGAGGGCCTTATTTAGAGAGTTTCCGATGAGCTGTTCTGCCCTTTCTGCTTTGTTCAGTCACTTGCTACCAACAAACTCATATTTGAAGTCAACTTCCCAGCGATCGCTGTACTTGTCTTCAAATAGAGGTTCTTATCTTGCAGCCTACTGTTTTCCTTTCTTCTTTCCATTTTTTTTCCAATTTCGCATTACTGTAATCCATACGTTTGTGTGGAAAACCTCCTCACCTGTGACATTTTCCCACATTTTCCCGATCCCCGAACTCGTTGTATCGGTTAATCTGCCTCTCGGTAAGCCTGTCCGCCTGTCTGTTTGAGAGCAAAGAAAGGACTCAGTGGGAGGGCACATTCAGGGCACATGCGGAACCAGAAATTGACCTTTTCACTCACCATTGCCTCTTTCCCTCGAAATTTGTTAAACAGCGATGTTATGGCTAATCGTTGTTATGTTGTTATTGACTCACTTTCACTGCTCTCAACAAATCATTGGTGTTATCGAACCAAAATAATCGTTGTCTGCCCGTCCACAAAGAGCGCCTTCATACATATGAATTGGTGTGACGGGGGAAATGGCAGGAGGGACCACTAGAAAACCAGGACAGCAGTCAGGTTTTCTGGAGCGAACAGTTGCACTATAGTGGTGTTTGCTGGTTAGACCCCTAAACCCCCACCCCCTCCTCACAAAATAGTACATTCGAGGCAGTTCATGCCCTGGTCATGTCTCAGGCTTCGTTCATACTTCGTGACTCGAGCCATTCGGTCGCGCGGTTCTCAAATTGCATGCTGATTGAATGCGCTCCGCAGTTATTAGTTGGACTTATGCAACTTCTCCTTATTCACAGTCAAAAAAAGACTCATTTTGAACTTTGCAGCTGTCCAGCGGTTAGCAGTGGAGCGCGATTAGTCGCAGTCGTGCGATTGAATTGCTCGATTCACAGAGTATGAATCCAGCCGCTGGAAAAGGGAGACGTGGCAGATGTAGAGAGAGACTCCCGTTCTCACCTTACGTGGAAACGTTAGAGTTGTGGGCGTGGTAGTCGGACGGTTTAGGTGGTGGACAGGGTGCAGCATCGTTGTGTGAAACACGTAGTGGGGGGGGGGGCGGTCGTACTTTCCGCTGGGGGGGGAGGTGGTCGTACGTGCTTTGAGAGAGATTTGCTGCTTGGGAAAGAATTTTTTCTCAGTTGTTGACTGTTCGCGTGATTCCCCTCCCCCGCTCGACGGAAATTTTTGGGTGAAAAACTGGAAAACTTGGGAAGTTGGTGATAGGTGTTGGGAAAGGGGCGGGGGTTGTACCCAGACCTCATTTAGGTGGGCGGTCGCACTGACACCCTCCTTGGGAGGGGTGGGTCGTGCCTACACCATCATTTCACACATCACGATGCTGTGCCCTGGTGTTGGAGCTTCGTCTGGTTAGGGCAGTTCCGTGTGTACCTGAGCGGCTTAAGTCTTTTCTTCAGCGGACGAGTTCCACAAGGTTCGGCCAGGACTTTCATAGCCTTCGCACATCGCTCCTCCCCCGCTGCAAATACTATCCTCTTAAGACACTTACTCTGGGAAGGCTTCCGGGGGACGACTGTTAATCCTACTCCATACTAAAGAAGGGGCGCACCAGCACTAGGACACAATGGTCATGAGTCTCCACCCATGAGATTATCGCGGAATGTGGCTTTAGGGCTCTGGAAACGGGAAAAGAAACGGGGCAGCCCACTTCATTAGCTGGTCCTCACCAAGTAGTTTGTCATCCTACTATTTAGCGTTCTTAAAAGGTTCAGCGAGTTTTGTTCCAGGCTTTACAGTTATTTAGGCTGTAACAGTAAAAATTACAGAGTACAATCTTTAGGTACATGCTAGCGAAATGCATTTGGAATGATCCACTGTTTGATTCATTGCTCGAACAGTACAAGGGATATCTGTGATGATCTCTGGACTAACGGAAGCATTATGAATGCCAGCAGAACAAGTTGTGTTGGGATTACCAACCATGGTAAGTGGCGTGATAGATGAGAGCGGTTGGTGTTAAAGGCGTGAAATGCATCTTCATTGGTTTCAGCATTGAATAAGAGGAACGGTTCCACTTCCCCATAACGGCAGGTTACGTTTGGCGTTTGGTTTCGTTGACGTCTCTGGCTATTGAAATGTATCAGCCTATTATCTCTTCTTTATTGTTTCTCTTCAAATTCTATTGTTGAACTTTTCCCATTGTTGTGATCGTGCTACCGATTTTGTTGATTTCATGAAAATCCCTGAATCCTTCAACAGCCTTTTGGATGGGTGTTTTGGGTTCAGTCATAAGATTGCAAAACAGCTGAGCTGCAAGGGGATGAAACGAGGTGAGCAGATGAAATGCCATGACTAGAAGTACCTAAAACTCGGTTTAGAACGTCGCGACCAGCGGCCGAACCACCGAAAAAAAGTGGGGTATGGCGTGGCAGTCTAAGCTCTAACAGAGTAAATTGCAAGTAACTACTCTTCTAGCAACTGAGCAAGTGACCAGCCATCAACTATGTTCACATTCTAGAACAAGGAAGGTAGAGAGATGGTCAGCGAGCAGGGCACTGGAGGAATTTTTC